AGGAGGGGCGGGGCGGGACACGTGTCCGCCAGCCAAGGTGCCGCACCAGCCACCCCCTTATTTACCGTGGGCCCCTTTGTTTTTCGACCTCGCCACCTCCACCTCTCTGCCGCCTCGTCACGTTACTGATGGCTTCCTTGTCCTCCTTCCTCGTGCCGCAGGTCCTCGGGTCGTCGAATGAGTTCCACTTCGTCCACCGCGCGCTGCCCGCCGCGCGTGCCAAGCGCTCCCTGCCGCACACCAGGAAGCTCAAAGTCGACCCTCTGGTGAGTATATCAAAACATCCTGGATAATTTAAATTTAGGGTTAGAACATATTCCTCCAATGAAGAGGTTATTTCGCCAAACTTAAAGGATCGTCGAGAAGGTACGTCCGTGTCTCTCAGGAGTTTGTCGCCTGCGAGAGTCGGGGTAGGCCAACCCGCGGTACACGCACGCATGGTAGGCAAGATATTGCCTACCCATCAGGCGCTTAAAGAGCTAGCACAGGCCGAACTTGGCTGCTTCGTGACGGCGAATGACGGACGTACTTTCCGGGCGATTTCTTAGTTGTATCCCTTTTTACGGCTACCATTTGGAATGCGTTGCAGGTGTCGATGGCGGCGCAGCAGTCGGGTTTCGTTCGGGTGAAGCGCGGCTACAAGCCACTCAAGGTGGAGACGATCGTCGGGCCGATCAGTCCCGGGCAGGACCCCACGGACCCCTACTTCAACTTCCAGTGGTACCTGAAGAACACGGGGCAGAACGGCGGCAAGCCGAAGCTCGACCTCAACGTGGAGGCGGCCTGGGCGCAGGGCGTCACGGGCAAGAACGTGACCACCGCCATCATGGACGACGGCGTGGACTACATGCACCCCGACCTCAAGTTCAACTACGTGAGTTGGTGGGCGGTGCTGCCGCTGCTGAGCGAAATTAAGACAACGATGTCATTGTTAAACGAAGAAATTTACATTAGAATTTAGAAAAATATTGCTGGTCAAAAATTTATCGCGAAGCCAGTATGATCATATTTGCTGTGACTTTTTCGCGCGGTTCCTGTGGGTGTACGCGGGCTACGTAACGCTTCGTTGAATGCAACAAAGTAATGCGACACGCCCCCCTCTTATTCTGCCTTCCGCTCGACAGAACGCCCGGGCGAGCTACGACTTCAGCAGCAACGACCCGTTCCCGTACCCGAGGTACACGGACGACTGGTTTAACAGGTGAGTCTGACACCAAGGCTGCTGTGATGTTTGCGCTCGGTGCACACCGCTGCACCCTGACGCGCCTCTGTTTGCTTGCGCCGCCCAAGTGTGGGCTCCAAAGCACCGTGTTTGGACGTTGTCTTAGTGGGGGAGCTGAACACAAATTAAATTATATACAAAGTTGTTGTCGGTGCTTTGTGGCATTTTCGCTCAGGGGTGAGCCTTCATGACATTTTATAACAGTATACATTTCGAGCGCTGCTGAGAATAGAAGCTGTAAAAAGAATCGCTGAAAATTATATTTATATCACCGCGCCAAGGGAAAGGCCACGTGTCCTGCAGAAGGGCATGGCTGATAACGAGCCGGCCCTGCCGCTACAAAGGTTGTAGTTCACTGTGGCCCGGCGCCGCCCGACGCTTAGCGCGCTGCTCAAGGTGCGGCCAACCTCGAAAAAAATTAAAAATAAACGCCAAATAGTACACGACTGTGCAGAGAAATAGAGAGCAGAAGTTAAGCGAGAGGGTGGGTCCCGGTGGGTCCCCACTCGCCCACTCGTCACTGTGAAAAATAGTAGGGAGGATTACAAGAAAATTTTCCATGACGCAAATTGTTAAATTACAATTTATAATCGTAAAAATACATGCAGTACCTATCGACTTAAAATCCATTAGCGAGTAAAAAATGTGCTCCGGTAAATTTACAACTTAAATTATGATTCGAGCTTACAAAAATGTTGTTAATTTACGACGGTATTTTTGACAGTGGTTGAATACGAGGAAAAATAATCGCGAGATACTCGCGAGAACTCGTGAAAAAAAATCAAGAAATACTCGCCAAACGGCGCGCACCCCTCGCCAAAGTCGCGGATACTCGCCAATACTCTTAAATGTTCGCGGATTGTACACCTACTTCGAGATTGGGGCCCCCCTCGAAGTTGAGCGTACACAGTCAGGCCCCACTTGTCGCTGCCGGCTATGCTCATGCGTCAGCTCACCCCCGTCCACCCGACGCGACGGCCCGCCGCTGCAGGCGGCCCCGCCGCCGCTGCCTCCAGGGGTTGTCCGCCCTCGATAGCTACCCTTCTTGTCCTCCCGACCCCCGCCCCGCACCACCGCCACCGTCGCTGCCGCAGCTCTCAACCAATTTCGCCGCCCAATTCACTTAATAGTATGAGGGTGGCCGGGACACGACAACGAGCGTCCACCCCCTCGAAGTTCCTCCCGCCTGTCCCTTGGATGTCCCTCTCGTCTGGCCTCTACACAGTTCCTCTCTTCAATGTACCCTCAACGTCCGTCACCTCAACGTCCCTTCCGCAGACGCCACCCTGGAAGTCCGCCTGTGGCCTGCAGGGCTAACCGCATCCTAGGCCCTAAGCCACATCCCACATCGGCTCGCCCGAGGGGTAAATAATTTCACTAAATTTCGGGCATTCCACGCCATTTTCGAAGAATTTCTGGCGCGCGAGGGTATTTTGCGACGACGCGCACACATGCACGAAACTATTCCGCGAGTGGATTTCCTCCCCGTCGCGCCAGCTGCAGGCGCTCCGGCGGGGATCCCGAGCGGCAAGGGAGAAGAGAGAAATGAGGACGAAATGCGTCGTGCTGGGCGCACTGCCGGCTTAGGGGAAGGCGGGTGTTGCGTCGCGTGGGTAGCGGGGCCTAGCGGGGGGCGGGGCGCGGGCGGGCGTCCAGCAGCGTGCATAACAAGGGCTGCCCGAACAGACGGGGGGGATCGAGATAAGGAGAGTGAAGGGAGAGAAAAGCGGGCGGAAGAGAGGAAGAGGAAAAACAGGGGTTGGGGCGGACGAAGACGGAAAAGATGCGGGCGGTGGCGGTGGACGTAGCGTTGGTCTGCTCAAACCGGCTCAAACGGAACAAAGTTTCAGTATACGGACGGCTGGTGGTGTCTCCGGCTGACCTTGGCGACTCTCTGCCTGTTGCGGAGTACGCGGCGCACCGCGGGCGCAGCCCCGTGTACCGGAGGAAGTACCGGGCCGGTTCCGTTTTGTCGGGCGTGTGCCCGGGACGGATAGCTTAGCGAGCAATCCAGCGCATGGGGTTAGGCAATTACACCAGGGTGTGTCTGAGAGCTGAGCGAGTATGGAGTATGTGCTGATCCGCGTTGCGGTTTGCGGTCGCTGGTAAGGGATCTATTCCACATGAGGAGGTTGGCGGTACACTGTAAGTTGGGGTGTCTCAAATGTACACCAAAAGGCGTATGCTACAGGATCCCGAGCGACATTTAGCGTAAACTTCTGATACATCTTTTGGCTTATAGATTCTAGACATCTTTGCCCATGCAATTCCCTCAGCACAGCAAAGGCTCTTATACATACACTCTGAAAGGCGCTCACGTCCTGTGCCGGGTGTAACTGTGAATGCGCAGCAGTGTTGCGGGTTTGCCTTCTCTTCAAAACCGCAAAGGGCCATGGCCCCTGCGGCCATATTGAGTATGCAATCCCGCAACACTGCTGCGTATTCACAGTTACACCCGGTACACCCTCACACTTGCATGCTCAAAGCTGGGGCTGTGCCGTCGGAGTAGTGTGAGCAAAGATGCCTAGATTCTATACGCCTCAAAAGATGCTTCAAATGTATACGCCAAATGTCGCTCGGGATCCTCTGGCATACGCCTTTTGGCAAATACATTTGAGAAACCCCCAATTTCAGTGGAGGGGGGGG